TGTGTGTGTGTGTGTGTGTGTGTGTGTGTGTGTGTGTGTGTGTGTGTATAAAACAAAATGGGCAATCTTACACTCTAGAGGTCCATATTTGGAAAATAGCATTATTTAGAGGACATTGAATATTTTTCCTAGATACTATTTTCCTTATCTTTCAAATAAGGTTCTACAGTCTAAACTCAGCTTAGCTTCAAATGCCACTGCCCGCAGACCCAGGTAATATACGACTGTTGAAAGCAAAGTCAGAGGGAACCACCAGAAACTAGCAATTGGGGCAGAAATAAGACCCAGGGCTTTACATAGAACTTCTGAACAGGAGTTGTAGACAGGGAAATCAAATGTAAGAAGAGGGAAATGTGTACATTGTCTGCTGGACAGATTTTCCACTGGGCATCCCTTGCTGGGCACAAAGTTGAACCCTTCCCTCCCATCTCAGTGATATTCACAGAAGCCCTGATAGGCAAAGATTATTTTTCCTGTCCTATTTATGAAGAAATCAACCCTTGTCCACAGACCTGATGTGTAAACTGAGTCCATAATTATATTGGTAATTAATCATTTTATCAATTCCTGGCTTTTTTTTTTTTGGTGTGTAGCCATCCTTGGAATCCTGCATACCCTTTATACAGTGACCTGCATCTAGAACCTCCCTTCTTTTTCAGGTCCTAAGAGTGTTTCGGAGGAAATGCCCTGCCACTTGTTATCATAAAAGTTCATTTTACCATGTCTTGCTTTCCCTCTTACTCCTCCACGCTTCTTTTGAGAGATGAAGGATTGAGGCTGAGGATCACAGTCAAGTGCATGTATCAGTCAGCTATGGCATCAACAACAGAAATACCCCAAGTAAGAGCAAACAGAGCTCTTTCGGTAAATAATAGCTCAGAGGAGTGCACACCTTGAAGACTTATAAGAACTAGTTTTGATAGAAAAACAAACTGAGGTAAGTGTTTAAAGTTACACCAGCAGTAAGCTTGAGGTCTGGGGTGTTGGGAGATGGCCAGTGACATTAAACACAGGTAATATAAGAGGGGACAGGCTCCAAGCAAAGCTAAGAGATTTTTTAAAAATTTTCTTCTACTCTGAAGCAAAAGATCTTCAGATACTACTGCACACCTACACACAAAGGAGGGGGCTGTGGAAATGGCACCGCCCATCTTCTGGGCCTCTTTACCAATAAATTCAAGACAATGGAACAACTAGGCCATGAATAGCAAAGGCAGTGGCTTCCCTCCTCTCTGAGTCAGATGATCCAGAGGGAGATACATGAGTTGTTACCAAGCGTGATTCTCTTTGCTGAATGATATCCAAATACTTATATTCTCGTTTGAAATATGTTTAAGTCATGCCGTTCCTAAGTTTTGATTCATCTTGTTGAATGAGGTACTCCTTCCAGTTACAACAGAAACCAGTAAAGGCAGCCTTACTTTCATTTAACATTAGACTGAGTACAGGACTTCTAGTCATCTTTGATCTCTTATCCTACCAGGTCCAAGTAACCCAGGCAATGTGCAAGTGCCCAAAGAGGGAATAGCCCAACCTTTCAGTTGCTTAAGCCAGGCAGGCAGAAAAATTTCACTGCCATGAATGCTTTTGTCAAATAATTATTTCTCCCAGAATCCTTTAAACTTAGTGGGTAAAACCCATAGCTGTAATTAAATGCTTGTAATACTTTCCCTATTTGGATCCAATAACATTAGTCAGCCATAGCTGCAGTGACTTCTGTATCCTGGATGAGAACAGCTCTGCTTCTCTAGTGAATACTCTGGTCTATTCAGTCAGTGGAGACAAGTAACCCTGAGGAAGTACTGGGACTGGTTTTCTTAGGAACTGAGCTGAGCACTTAAGTCTTTAGGCTCGACTTTCATTAGGTACTTCAGCAAAGAACACCCAAATAAGAGACAAGACAACCTCTGACTTCTTGAACTTGCACTTCATCTGTGTTAAAAGTTTTCCAAGATAACCACTCTCATCACCTGAATGGAGGCTGCACAAACACCTGCTGCTTAAACAGCACCCAGGGTTCCAGGGAGCCTCAAAGCACCCGAGCCAAAGGCAAGAAGGAAATGTTGATCACTTATTTTACTGTCTTACCTGCTTCCAGGGAGAACAAAATCCTGCTGTTTGCTGCAACATGGATGGATCTGGAAAGAGCTGAGCTAAACCAGCCAGGCAGCCAACAATAAAAACACATTTACACATGCATTTGTGAGAGCTTAAAAAGTCAACTTTATATAAGTAGAGAATGCAATACTCGCTACCACAGGCTGAAGAGGGTGAAGGCCGAGCAGGAACAATAGCATCTAACCTATTTGCACAGTAGGCTGCCAATAACTGAATACTACATAACAGCTTTAGAGTATTCTCTACACAAAGAAAGCATAAATGTTCAATGTAATTGATCGATCAACTACTCCAATCTGATCAATACATATCAGGTACATTCATTGAAATATCATACACATGAATATATGTAATTTGTATGTATTAATGAAATGTTTTAAAATGTTAACACCAAAGGGGATTAACATTTTTTCTCTTTGTAGTTTATTGTGTTCTAGTCTCTAGATCCTTTGTTGAATGTTTCTTGAGAAAGGGGCATCTCCTCACTGAACCTCCATCCCTGCAACAGCGAGTCAAAGGCGCCTTGCAATATTAAGACCATGCTGTTTGCTTTACAAGGAAGGATTCTAAAGAGTTGTCCTCTAGAAATTGACCCGCCAGTTACACGAGGAAATTCTGTAAACTTTATCAGCAGGACGGATAAGTAGGTACACACATAGCATTGTTTTTAAAAGCAGTTCTCGGGTCCCCATATGAGGCTGAAGAGAGAGATCTGTCAGTAAAGTACTTCCATTTTAAGCACAAGGACATAAATTCAATCTGTCGCACCCTGTAAAAAGCCAGGTATGGTGGTATGTGCTTGAAATCCCAACCTTGGGAAGGCAAAACCAACTGGATGCTGGAGGCTTGCTGACCAGCTAGCCTAGCTTACTTGGTGAGTGCCGAGCAAATGAGATCCTATTCCTCAAGAAAAGAAAAAGGAAAAGGAAAAACGTACCCA